TGCGCACCAGTGTCCAGTGTGTGGAGGTAATAAAACAAAAATTATGAAATTTGATGGAAAATTGACAAAATTATGCTCTTGCGAATTTTGATGTGTTGGCGATATTTATGCATCGGTGATTTTGCTGATGCAAAATCAATTGAGCACAAGAAATCGCCAGCTCAACTGTTTCAACTACAAAATAGTGATTGGAAATTGTAATTTGGCCAATTTAGTGCAAAGTTCCAAATGCAGTGGACCCCCGGTTAACGATATTTTTTCACTCCAGAAGTATGTTCAGGTGCCAGTACTGACCGAATTGGTTTCCATAAGAAATATTGTGAAGTAGATTAGTCCATTTCAGACCCCCAAACATACACGTACAAACGCACTTACATAAATACACTTACATAATTGGTCGCATTCGGAGGTAATCGTTATGCGGGGGTCCACTGTATTCCAATTTCAAAATAGGGTCCAGAATAAACAATACAGGCATTCCTGGCACTAAACTAACATTTCCTCTGTTCATTAGTTACATTTTCAGGCTTGACAAATGAATTCCATTTTGATTTTTAATTTGCATAGTGAATTTTTATTCAAACCAAAAAATAGAAGATTTACTGTCATGCAATATTGTAATAATTGTATAAATAATATCAGCACATTTGTGAACGTATATTAGACCCACCAGGTGGCGTGTATTAGATGTGAGGTCATTTGTTTACTCTTGAACATCGGCAAAAATTTAACATTCCCGCTACTTTGAGCTCAGTTTTAAGCCATTTTCAGTACTAAAACCAATCAAAATCATCTGTATTTCTGTAAAATATCTTCCATTCTATTAAATGAGACCAAGAAATCGCAAATACAACTATAAAAAACACATGGAAAAAACAGTGCAAAGTCGCTGTTTTAATTGAAAATTACGGTCTCTGTTTTTTTCTATTATGCACTGTGTGCTGCAGGATTTGTTTTATGTGGTGCATACATAGCATATAGATGTATTCTCTCATATCTAGGCCCAAATTTACCGCTCACAGCTTATCAGAGTGAGCTGAGCTCATGGCGTAGATCTATGGTTTGGACCCTCAACGTAAAGCCACAGATCTATGGCACGGACCCTGAAAGGGTTGAAGCAGAAACACGGTCAGAGTTTTTTTTTTTTTTTCATTATGCACTGTGTGCTACAGAATTTTTTTTATACTGTGCACACTGACTACATAGACCCATTCTTTCATATGTAGGCCTACCAGCTTTCTCTCACAAGATTTGAAGGCACTAGAATTTATACATACTAGTACGGCACCAACCCTGGCTCCAACCCTGAAAGGGTTAATTAACCCTTTGACTGTTTTTGACGAGCCAGTGTTTTTGACTTATTTATACTCCAAAATTCTAGCGGCTTCAAATCAAGCGGGAGAAAGCTGGTAGGCCCACATGTGAGAGAATGGGTCTGTGTGGTCAGTGTACGCAGTATAAAAAGAATCTGCAGCACGCAGTGCATAATGAGAAAAAAAAACTCCGACCGTGTTTTTGGATTAAAACGCCGAATTTGAGGTGTATTTTCGTATAGTATGCAGTATATGGTTGTATTCTCGTTTTCTTGGTTGCATTTGATAAAATAGAAAACCTATTACAGAAATAGAGATGATTTTGATTGGTTTCAGGATAAAAAAGACCTTGAAATTGAGCTCAAAGTAGTGGAAATATTTGATTTTTTGCCGATGTTCAAGAGTAAACAAATGACATCATTGTCCAATAAGTGTCCAGCTAGCCAATCTAATATGCAGTCACGAATGGGTTGATGTTATTTATACAATTATTACAATAATGCAGTAGTCTGCATAACAGTAAATCTTCTATTTTTTGTGTGAATAAAAATTCAAAACAGAAAGCAAAAGTAATATAAAAGGGGCCTGGAGACATGACTGATGAACAGAGAAAATGTTATTTTAGTGCTAGAAATGTCTGCATTGTTCATTCTGGGCACTATTTTGAAATACATAGGCATCTTTTTTTTAACTTACATGAAATTGGCCAAATTGCTAATTTCTAAACACTTTGATTAGTTGAAATCAGTAAATGGGCCACCAGGCCCAGTGGCCTGGTGGCTAAAGCTCCCGCTTCACACATGGAGGGCCCGGGTTCGATTCCTGGTGGGTGGAAACATTTTGACGCGTTTCCTTATACCTGTTGTCCTGTTCACCTAGCAGCAAATAGGTACCTGGGTGTTAGTCGACTGGCGTGGGTCGCATCGTGGGGGACAAGATTGAGGACCCCAATGGAAATAAGTTAGAAAGTCCTTGAAGACTGCACTAACTTTCTTGGGTTATCCTGGGTGGCTAACCCTCAGGGGTTAAAAATACGAATGAAATCTTATCGTAACAAATGGAGTTCTAAAGAAATATCTTTGAGTTTAGTTGACTGGAACACCAGAATTGGCCGAAAATAGGGCTCAAATTGGGTGAAATTGCCGATGCGTACCTTCTCGAGAGCTTAATTCCGCAAGTTTTCAATCAAATTTCGAACTTTTGGTGTCATTATTATTGGGAAAGGATCCCCTATCATTTCAGATTTTTTTTTTTAATTCTTCGACACAGAGCAAGTTTGAGAACAGGGGTCTCGACAGTCAGAGGGTTAACACAGATAGACTGTGTGTAACATTCGATACTTGAATCTATGTAATATTCTGATAGATTAGTTTGCATGGTTGCTCAGGTAAGACTTGAAATAAAGTATAAACTATAATTAATGCTCAGTACATTATTGAACAATTTAAGCCTGTAGTTGATGTAGGAATTGAATAAATTTGATATACATACTTGAGGTGCAGTATGATTGTTTTTGTATAATTAAATAACAGTTTATAGAAGGGATTATATTATAGGAAAGGGAGTGATATAAGTAGATGATTTTACTACTGGGGAAACATGCATGGAGACAAGACAGCCACCTTTAAGAACTTTTTTAAATTTGAATGTGAATTGTGGAGGCTTTTGGTTACTTCTGATAAGCTGTTTTATTTTTTAAGTATTTTACATTAGTGTGTGTGCATAAATTGAGTTGCACTTGGGGCATGTTGGATATGGTTATTAGTTGATTTATAGGCACAGATCTTGATTTTGAGTTTTGCATTGAGCAGGAGGTAAATTAGGGTCTATGTTTCCAATTAATTTTGCTAAAACTTTCCTAGGTGTATCTTGTATTTTTATCTTGATATAAGATTTCACTTTAATCAGAGAAAGAGAAAGAGATTTAAATCAACAAATAGTATAGTAGGATATTACAGGTACATCTTGCCAGATAATCCATTTTACAGGACTAACAGAGGTTAAGTAATAATAACTGAACAATACACCTCTGACCCACTAATTATACATGTCCATTGTCTCTAAAGCACCAAGGTTTATTTTGGTAATTAATGTAATTACAAAACTAGTACTCTGGAGCTAATCTTTTGAGACATTTCACTAAAGTGAAGTTGTTTCCTGTGCTTTGAACTATACTTATGTGATTTCCCATGTGTCAAATAGTCGTATACTCTTCCTCCATAATGAATGTGCATTGTTCAAGGCCTTGGATTAAGTCACCTGACAAGTCAACTTATTAGATATTACTATTAACAAGTTTGCAGCTACACCACTGACTCTTGCATCTTTCTTAGAAGCCATAGCAGGGGTTAAATGTAAGCAAAATAAAGCTAGAATTGTCCAAAATCAAGGGATCATTTCCATCAACTTCAGTGTAAACTATACAAGTGAACACCTACACACTGCCATCTGTGGCCACCCAGTAAACTAGTCTGGCAGTCCTGGTAATTTCAGATGCCCTCATAATTTTGTCCGGACCAGAGGTGCTGGACCATCACTTACTGAAAGATTGTTGGTGTACCTGTATTAGTGAGTGCTAGATAATGTAGATAATATGTAGCATTTTGAATGCTAGAATAGTTGGTGAAAAACTAAATTTACTATTTTAATTTAAATACAAATCTTATTGAAGATTGAGAAACATATGCAACACATGAAAATCTTTATTAAAGAAACGTTTTGCCACTCAGTGGCTTCATCAGTCCAATATGTTACACGAGTATCTCAATCTTCAACTTGTTGGTTTTCAAACCATTTGTCACAATCTTATTAATTAATAGGAAGAGAATGGATGAATAAACTTCAGTAATGCCAGGAAAGTGATTGGAAACATATTTATCAGTTTCAGTATTTCTTTAATTGCTTAGCACACTTAAAATGCACAATTGTTCAACCTGAATATTTTCCTTATGCACCTGCATTGTTCAGAATCTAATTAAATCTGCCAAAAAGAATGACTTGTGGGTTTGAAACTTCTTTATTCTCAAATCTTACTATTAATTTTTAGTTTTATTTCACTGTTTTACTAATTGTGTCTGCTGTTTCTAATCATTTCACTTTCTTTGTATATTTTTAATTAATTCTGCTCTTGTTGTTTTTACATCTTTAAAAATTCTATATTTAACATTTTGTTATGCATTAACCTACTAATGGCTAAGGTTTATTTTCTTATTTGTAGCTTGTTTTTACAACCAATTAAACCTTTTGTTTGCCTTACCAAATTCTTAAATATCCACCCCAGTTCTCTTCAGTTTTTGTAATGTGATTTATCTATAATTGTCTTCTCTTCTTTTCTCTGCTTTGGTTGTTTTTGAAAGATAACTACAAGGGTTGGTACTCTACTATGGAATACATATTCTTGTACAAGATACTTCAAGCATTGCATTAGGCTTGATATATACATGATCCCTGCTGTGTGGATCATGATATTGATAATGAAATAAATCCTTTAGTCTCAAAGTTGCCCTTCATTAATGTGTGTGTGTGTGTGTGTGTGTGTGTGTGTGTGTGTGTGTGTGTGTGTGTGTGTGTGTGTGTGTGTCTGTCTGTCTGTCTGTCTGTCTGTCTCTGTTTGTGTCTTCAAACAAAAGTAACTATTTTTTTATTTTTTTATCATTCCAATAATATTGGTTAATTCATCATCCACAGGTAACAGCAAGAAGTTGGCTAAAGCTGCTGCTGCCCGCCAGGCTTTAAGCAAACTGTATGGAGTTATTGCTTCAACACCTAACTCTGTTCTTCATATGCCTATCTCTAACATGCCAAACATCCACATGCCTCAAACAATAGCAGACAAGATTGCCAAGTAAGTATGATAGAATAGCTGCATATAAATAATTACTCTAGAGTGAAATGTCCAATAAGACCTCTCCATATTGTGTATGTCTGCTTAATTGGCATGTCAGTTTTCTTTGTTGTACTTGCATGTTTGTCTCTTCCATTCTAAGTTCTTTTATCTTAGTTGTGACAAGTGTCTTTGTTTTATCACCATACAGTGCATCTCTTCTGATAATTATAGTGTTCTAGGTGTCCTTTTTTTAACACTATATCAAGTATTTTTATTTTAATACTGTGTCAGGTGTCTTTCTTTCAGCACTGTGCCATGTATCTTTGTTTACCTAGCAATTTAAGTATAAAGATCAAATTACTACTTGGTTTTATCTTTGCACCAGATTTAAATAACTGATAATTAGTTTGTTGTTATTATTGTATGTCTCTCAACACATCGGCCGTATCCCACCGAGGTTATTGTATGTATTCTCAACTATTCTCCTTGTGGAAGTGGAACAGAATTCTTCCTCCGTAAGCCATGCGTGTCGTAAGGGGCGACTAAAATGCTGGGAGCAAGGGGCTAGTAACCCCTTCTCCTGTTTACATTACTAGAGTTAAAAAGATAAACTTTTGTTTTTCCTTTTGGGCCACCCTGCTTTGGTGGGATATGGCCAGTTTGTTGAAAGAAAGATGATGATTCTCAACTATCCCATATATAAATACAGAATTGTACAAACTTGAACATCAATTTATAATTGGTTTTGTACTTATATTTTTAGTGTATGCATGTTAGAATTTTTATGTATAAATATATATTTTTGGGCCTTAAACTCTGCTCAACATTCTGACGAATTAGCAGAGCATCACAATTCATTGTAGTGCTAATATTCCCTAGTCTGTAACTGATTTCATCAACAATATGAACAACACACTTCTCATACCAACAATAACTAAACCAACCAGGCTCACTGAGACAAGTGCAACCATAATAGACCACATATGGACCAATATACTAGCCCCCCTTAAATCAGGGATAATCACAGACAGCACTACAGACCACTACCCTACCTTCCTCTTGACAAACATTAGTAAACCACCACTGGAATACAACAAAGTTTCATTTAGACTCCATGACGAGGCCTCAATAAGGAATTTCACAGCTGACCTAGAGACTGTTGACTGGCCTACAGAATTCTCCAAGGCCAATGGTATTGATGACTGGACAGACATTTTTCTTAACAAATTACTTAGACTATACAATAAACATTGTCCTATAAAAACGAAACAGATCACAAATAAACGGCTTGGTTGCCCATAGCTAACCAGCAGCATTCTGAAATCCATTGATAAGAAACACCAATATGAAAAGCAATATAGACAGGGCTTAATACACAGAAATATTCTTAAACACTAGTCATCAGTTCTCACCAAAGTAATAAAGAAAGCCAAACAACTGTACTACTCCAGCAGATTCACTGACACAAGAGGAGATATAAAAAAGACCTGGAAAACACTTTCCCAGATTCTAGGGACCCACAAACTGAAAAAAAAAGCAAGAATATTGTCCTAACTAAACCTAATGAAACACCTCTGCATTCCACTGACACCGCTAACAAGATAAACGACTTCTTCTCAACCATAGGATCTAATCTCGCCAACAAAATCCCACGTACCAATCCCCATGCCGGGGACTACCTAGATGGGAATTTCCCAAATTCCTTCTATCTTGTCTCAACTGAGCCCACGGAAGTCACCGAGATTATAAAGTCACTTAAAAATAACTCAGGGAATCTGTCTTATGTCCCACCATTATTATACGAGCGAGTGGCCCATGTCCTTTCGCATACTATTTCATTACTTTTTAACAAGTTACTAGAAACTAGCACCTTCCCAAAACTACTCAAGACAGCAAGGGTTACACCAATACATGAAGGTGATGACCCTACAGATTTAAACAACTATAAGCCAATATCAAACTTACCATTGCTATCCAAAATCTTTGAGAAACTCGTGCACAGGAGACTATATTCATTTATAACGACACAAAACATACTCAACCCCTGCCAATTTGGATTCAGGAAAAATAAAAGCGCTAATGATGCAATTATAAAAATGATAGATCTGCTTTACAGAGCATTGGAAAATAAGGAATATCCGCTAGGAATTTTTATTGACCTAAGAAAAGCTTTTGACACGGTAGACCACGGCATCCTACTCCACAAACTTAACCATTATGGTATAAGAGGCCATGTGCTTGCATATTTCAAATCCTACCTTACTAACAGGTATCAGTATGTCACCATTAAAGGCACAGCATCATCAACACGGCCACTTGATACTGGAGTTCCGCAGGGAAGTGTGCTTGGTCCCCTGCTCTTCCTCATATACATCAATGATCTTCCAAAACGTATCCCAACACCTGAACCCCATTCTTTTTGCTGACGACACGACTTATGTCATCTCTCACCCTAATCTTGTCACCCTCAACACCATTGTTAATGAGGAGCTGCTCAAAATATCGACTTGGATGACAGCCAATAAACTTACGCTTAACACTATAGTATTATGTTTGGTAGCAGAGCAGGAGTTGCGCAAATTATCATTAAGATCGACAACACACTAATTGCCAGACATAATGAGGGCAAATTCCTAGGCCTATGCCTCGACAACAACCTGAATTTCAGCACCCATATCCAACACATAACCAAAAAAGTATCCAAAACGGTTGGGATCCTCTCCAAGATATGATATTACGTGCCGCAAAATGCCCTTCTCTCACTATACCATTCACGTGTTTATCCATACCTCACCAATGCTATTTATGCTTGGGGATCAACTGCAGCAACACACCTAAAGCCAGTAATAACCCAACAAAAAGCTGCAGTAAGAATAATCACTAAATCCCATCCCTGGCAACACACCCCCCCACTCTTCATAGATCTAAACTTACTCCCTGTTCAGTACATCCACACTTACTACTGTGCAATCTACATCTACAGGACCTTAAATTTCAATATTAACCTTGACCTAAAACGCTTTCTTGATAGTTGTGACAGAACCTACAGGCATAACACTAGACACAAACATCTCTATGACATTCCCTGTGTCCGACTAAACCTTTACAAAAATTCGACGTATGTCAAAGGCCCTAAAATCTGGAACACCCTACCTGGAAACTCTAGAACTGCAGACACATTCATCACCTTCAAAACTACCATTAGAAAACATCTTATCTCCCTGATACACCCCGTCAACTAATTACATGAATACCACCTGGTAGTTCACACTTACACTCACTCACGCATTTGACCATAAACACAGAAATATCAATCTTAATCTTAAAATAATGAATCCTAACTAGTCATAAGTTGGCCTGTGATACTCCAATACTGAAACTATGCATTGTGCCAAAACAATAGCATTCACATTGCTAAACTCACAAACTAGTATTTAGTCTCTTAGCCATAATACCAACTTGCCTCATAATTTGTAATATTTTAAAGTTAAGAATTAATCTAAGTCTGCCCGAAATGCCTAGCCATGCTAGGTGTTCTAGTGGCCCCCTCTTTAATTAGTATTTTACTACATGTAAACCACACAATAACCAAATTCTGTAAACTCAGCATTGTAATCCTTATAGAGAATAAACTTGATTTGACTTGATTAGTACCACGTGATTGTTAAATATATGCAGATTTATTTGGATGGGAGGTGGGAAACTTTCCAATTTTATACAGTTTTGAAATTTTTGATTACCTTTGAGATTTTTTAGAATAGTTACATCAGATTAGCTTTGCATATGAAATTTTTAAGTAAAATATTTTTCTCTTTCTCTCTTGAGGTAATTTTATGATTCGGTTTATTACCTAGGTTTTAATACACTTTGAGTTAGAACTCTTGCAATCTGGGATAATGGATAATAGAATAAACTTTCCCAAACATGAAAGATGTATAATGCCATCAGAAAATGGGCAGAGCAAAACGCTCATATCCCACCAGTGCTGGTAACCAGGTTTCTAGAAAAGCTTTGGAAAATTCATATAAAATAATGATGGTTGCCACCCTAATAAGACTTTTAAGCTCACAAATGAGTGGAAAGATATATTAAAAGAAATTATCCATTAGATGAAGCTAAAGATGGCTAGGGCAGAGGAAGAGATACACACAACACCAAGACCACCACTTAGCAAATCATTAGCTAGTCTCTTCAACAGATCACTCCAAGGGGTATCATACCGGATAAATGGAAGATGGTAAATATGGCACTCATTTACAAAGCGGGAGATAGGTTCTTATATTCAAATTATAAACGAATTGGCTTAACCTCATTTGTGAAAAAGTTGTTGAAATAAAATATGCTGATGCAATTCTAAACCACTTCAAAAGGTATTATTTGATCAGTGAATCTTAGCATGATTCCTTTTTCATTAAGGTATTCAGGGCAGTAGACCAACATAAAGAACGTGTTATTGTGTGTATAGACTTCAGTAAGTCCTTTGATAAAATTTTGCATAGGAGACTGATTAACAAAGTAGCAATACCTGGGTTGAGGCATAGCTGACCAGTAGGCAACAGAATTCGCATTAAACCTTTCAGGGTCCAGACCCTGATCTGAAAGTTGTCCACAGGGTCCAAGAATTAAAAAAAAAAAATGCTATTTTTTTCTTACAAAATGGTAGAGAATCTTTTTTCTGGAGGTAATGAAACAAAAAGTACGAAATTTGATGGAAAATTGATGAAATTACGCTCTTGCGAATTTTGCTGCGCCAGCGATATTTATGTATCGGTGATTTTGCCCACTTTGACTCCCATTTTGGGCCAGTTACAATTACATTATTCCAGTCGACCAAATTCTTAGCTATTTCACTAGTATTACTTCTATTTTATCAATTGCGCACAAGAAATCACCCAGTCAACTGTTTCAACTACCCAGTAAAGTGATCAGAAATTGGTAATTTGGCCAATTTCACACAATGTTCAAAATATTCCAGTTTCAAAATAGGGTCCAGAACAAACAATGCAGGCATTCCTGGC